TTGGAAAAAAAGATTGAAGGATTTCACTTAATTTAAGGATTTCACTTAAACCGATTTCATTTCACCAAGAAAGATTGGAATTTAAGAATGGTCAAAAGATTTGAATAGACACTTCACCAATATAAAGTACCTTAAATTTTCATAAATTTCTGCTATCCTACAACCTAGAAATTTTGCTAGGTCTTTACCCAGAACATAAAGACATAAGTCAACCCAGATATTTATACTCAAATCTCTCATAACAGTTTTATTCATAGTAACCCCAACCTGAAAACTACCCAAATAATCATCTAATTAGTGAATGAATAAGCAAATATCATACTTTGATGCATCAAAAAAAAGGAACTCCTGATAAGCTTAATGTGTGTATTTTTTACTTTTGTTTGTTTATATTACCATAGAAGTACTGGCTAACAATGACACATTATCTCACAGTTCCTATGGGTTAGTAGCTGAGGCACAGTCTAGATGGATTCTCTACATAGGCCCTTGTGAGAATGATCAAGGTGTCAGCTAGAGTTGAGTTCTGATCTGGAGGCTTAACGAGGTAAAGATCCACCTTCTTACTTGGGTGGTTGTTAACAGCATTCAGTTCCTTGCAGCTGTAGGACTGAGAACTTCAGTTGTTCACCAGGTGTTGTCCTGCAAGAACCCTAAATCCTAAAGGTTACCACAGTCTCTTCTTACCCTATGGAGTTTCTTAACATGACTACTTTTTTCTTACAACCAGTAAGGGAACAAAAGTCTACAGCAAGATGGTGTGGTACCCTTTTTTCTAATATAATCGTGTAATTACATATATGCTATCACTTGTGCCATGTCTTCATAGCTGGTACTAAATCAAGGTCTTGCCCTCACTTAGTAGGAAGAGTCATGCATATAAATAAGCAGGAGGTGTGGAGACTACATTAAGAGACTGTTCATCACACCGTAACATGGGCGAACCTCAAGGACATTCTGCTGAGGAAAATAAGGCAGATGTTAAGAAGATACATATTGCCAAAGATTCCATTATAGAAATTATAGAGAAAACAAAACTGAGCTACCATAACCTAAGTATAACCCTCGTTGCTTGGGGACTTGAATAGGGCAAGGTGAGTATTTACATGTAAGTAGACAACAGGGAACTTTGTGTGTAGGGGGGGGTCAATGGAAATGTTCTCTGTACTGATTGCGATGCTGGTCATAGGCAGAGCATATTAGTCAGATTTTGTGAAATTTTACACGTAACCTATATTCAGTGTTTGTATATAATTGATATCTCAATATATTTGATTAAGAACAGCATCATAAAATTTGTACCTTAATGTGCTATCTTATCCTAATAACATCCTTAATACTTAAAGGTCGCTAACTAGCTGGGCATGGTGCTGTATTCCTGTAATCCTAGCACTCTGGGAGACTGTAGCAGAAGGATAGCAAGTTTGAACCCACCCTGGGCAACTTAGTGAAATCCTGATTTAAAAAATAGAAAAGAGTTGGGGATTTAGCTTAGTGGAGAGGCTCTGGGTCCAATCTTTGAGACAAAAAAAAAAAAAAAAGAAAAAGAAAAATCTAAAACTGAAAACAAAGCAAAACAAAAAAGCAGTAACAGAAAATGGTTCGTTTCATAATATATCCTTTGAAGAATTTTTCACAGTTTAAAAGTGTAGATTTTTTTCTATTTGTTATTCTTTATGAAGTTTAAAAACTCAAAGCTGGCAAATATCCTCTTGTAAAAGATGAGGCTTTGTTATAGTCTCATCCTTAAGTAAATGACATGTATTTCTAATGTAATATCTCTGTTGATAAATTTTCCATACTTTTGGCTCTAAGTAGCCACCTAACTAAATCTGGTGATGAATATCTTATTTAACCATAGCCTGTTGGCAGGTTTTCTGAGTGTACTGGATATTTTTAGTATTTATGAAGATTTGCAGAATGTATGCTTTGTAAAGTATTTTCCTGACTGCTTCTTCCAGTCTCTCTTAGTGATTAATGAGTGATTAATTTGCATGCTCACTTTACACTCATTATAGATTGTTATGTTCCAATAGTAGTACTAAAGTTCAATGAAAATTTCATGCATACTAATGAGAATGTAAATAAGTATTGGTGAAAGAATATTAGGATCTTAAGGCATAAACTGTCCAGTTATCTTGCTAAATTCTCTTCAAATGATGGTTGCATTAAATTATAATGAGGACTAGTATAGAATCCACTTTGATATAATTAGCAATGGCAAAATCAGTATATAGTTTATAATTGGATAGAGTTTTCTTTTAAGATTGTTTTAAGATTTAAAAAGTAATGATTTAATAGTAATGCCTACCTCTATTCCTTCTTCCACCTAATCTTTGCCAGCCTGCAGCAGAACATTTCCTGTGTTTCTTATAGAAGTTGGGAAAGTGGAACTGATTATATAAATGAGTGATCACTTTTCAAAGATTTCCAGCTATAACATGTAATGGTTACATCACAGTCACAACAACTATCATCTCAAGATATTTTAAATATGTGCTTATTGTGGAATCATAAATTAAATATATTTATTTCAGCAGTTGCATTTATATACCTATGTAAAGCAAAAATCTTTTACACAGTTCTTTAAAATGAAGCTAAAAGAAGCCCTTATATCTTTCCGTAGAGAATGGCATCCCTTGGCAGTGAATAGACTGGGTGGTATGTGATACATTCAGTAGTTTGAGTTCCATCACATTCCTACATTTGTGAATGAACTTTATAAACATAAAACCAGTAAACTTTAGAAAACACATAGCAGAGTTTTCCTGTTTTTACATAGTTGGATTTTTTTAATGATTTGGTTCAATTAAAGCATTTTTCTTTTTCTAACATTCCAAGAGAACTGTAGATGCCATATTATAGACTCATATGTAAAACAAATTGTTATTTTGAAGTTTTTTTTCATGATGATGGTGTGCATTATGTCACTACACTTTTTCATCAGATCTTACACACTGGTATGTGTTTATGGACTAGAATATTCAGTAATCATTAGTAAAAAGTGTGTATCTTAGTTACTTTTCTTGTTACTGAGACAAAATACCCCACACCCAAAGTTAAAGTAAAGAAGGTTTATTTGACTCACAGTTTGTAGAGGTTGGCTACAACCTCTCATGGTTGGCTGGCTCCAAGGCAGGGGTCTAAGCATGGCAGAGAGACATTGCAGAGGAAAAATAATTCATGGCAGGCAGATGACAGCAAGGCAGCAAGCAGCAAGCAGCAAGCAACAGACAGCAACCCTCTTTCTGTCCCTTATATTTTATCCAACCTACCCTTGCGCTTGCCATCTATGCAAGTTTTGGTAGAAATGGGCCAAATAAGAGTGAAAGGTAATAAGAAAGAGAATGCAGAAAAGAATAACAGGAGTAGAAGTTCAGAAACAGAATGGAAAACACTGCAACTATACTGGAGGTACACATATATGGGATCAGTGCAAGAGAACAGAAGAAACAGGTCTACAGTTAAACATTGCCATTTCCACACCCAAAACTACTCATTGCTGGGCTTTTCACAAGGATAGTTCCCACTGCCCTCAGTACTTGGATGCAGGCTAGTAAAGCTAATCTGAAGAAAAGGTAGCTGATAAATAGATAGAACTCAGACTTTTACAACCATTTCAGCCAGGTTTTGGTTCCCAGTCTGCTACTAATTAGAAGCATAGGCAAGTTACTTAATCTGTCTGAGCCTTAGTTTCCCAATCTATAGAGTGGGGTCCATAATTCTTATTTTGTGATATATAGTTAAGGTCTCATCTATTCTGTCCTGGTTTAATGGGAGGAAGGGGTTGCATGTTTCTCACTAAAGTGCAGAAGACTTCTCCGTAGAGCATGGATGGTTTTTGGAGCCAGATACGGAGTCAGATCTGGATTCAAATCCTGCCATTACTATTTAGTGTATAAACTTGGAAAATTGTGTAATTCCCCTATAAGATAAGCATACTTCAATTTTATAATGAATATTTAGTGGAATACAGTAATAAAACTGTGGTTTTCTGCTTTCTAAAGGCCGTGTTCCCTACAGTATACTTTCTTATATACTGATATCCCAAGCAGATATTACTGATCTTTGTTTGAGTCTTTTATGTTTCTTTTGTGCCAGACTGGGCTAAGTGTGTGAAGTGTGTGTGTGTGTGTGTGTGTGTGTGTGTGTGTGTGTGAAGTTTAGTGTACTGTAATGCTATTATAATTTTCATTTTACAGATTTGGAAATCTGATGCTTAGAAATTTAAGAAATTTGTATCAGGTGACATAGCTATTAATGATGGATTATTATTATTGATGGGTTTGGAATTTAAACCCAGAGAATCTGGCTCTATAATTTAGTCTCCTAAGCACTATGCTCTACTGTGTCTTCTGTGTGGTTCTTACAACTTTCTCAGAGGCACCCTCCTTTCTCTTTGCCCTAAAGTGTCTAGCACAATTTTATAACAGGCACTAACACATGTGCTTCTCTCTATCTCGGCACCTATCTCCCAAGTGTTAGAGCTAAAACCTGATGATGCTTCAGCCATAGGAGGAGGCTGCTTGCTGGAGAAGAGAAGTACTTGTAATCAAAACTTTTCATTGTCTCCTCTTTGCTAAGTTAAAGCATAACTAATTCAAGTTTCCAAAATAATATAATTTTTGTATTACCTTGAGGTTTACTTATATTGTGATTTGGCCTGTATGCTATAAATACACTAAATTGAATTCAAATGTTTATGAGCTGTGATTGTAAAGATACAAAACCACTTTGTGCTTATCTTTCCTCCACTGTTGTATTTTTTCATGACACAAATCACCACTTGATAGGTTTCTGTGCTGATCTTCTGAACCCCTTTCAATAGTGTACATGCTCAAGCAGAGGAGGGACCTTGAGCTGTTCAATCCCTTCTGCATCTCCAGTATGCAAAATAATATGTAGTAGGTGCTCAAAAATATTTTTATGTATAAGTGAATAAAAGGTTTACATAAATTACAGAGAACCAATACTTAAATATTATTTATTTTTCTTTCTAGCTTGGATTAGAAGAAAAAGAAATACTCCACCTACCATGGAGGTAAGAATACACAAGGAGAACATCCAGGTAGCCTGTGTTTATAATACTGTACTTTTCAATCGACAATTTGTATTCCAAACTTGTACACAGAGCCTCGAGGAAAAAAATATGGTGCATCTACACAAGGTGTTATTTAGTTCACAGGAAATAATTTTAAACATTTAATGATAAAGTAATCTATTAATATGCTATACTAATATATATTAATAAAACACTATGTGATAAAATAAGTGTCTATTTTATGGAATATAACAAAATTCCTGTAAATTATTAAGTGAAATAATAAAATTTTTAAAAATATCAAATATACTTTTTAGAAAAATTAGTACTTACCATCACTCACATCTGATTATTTCTCCTAGCTCCAGAGATTTCTTTTTGCTGTTACCGATATTTCAGTTCAGAAGTTTGAGAAATACTGAATCTCAGTCTTACCCAAACATGTACTTAGATTTCCCTTAATTTTATATATTTAACTCTAGCAAATATCTAAAGAAACTAAAATACACAATTAGCAAGTAACATGTAGTAGTAGTTAGTAATTAATATTAAGTTTAATTTTTATTTAAAACTTTAAAAACTTACTGCTTTGGTGATAGAATAAAATGCTATGAATATGTGCTTTAAAAACATGATTATTTCATAATTTTGAGTTTAAAGCAATAGCATAAAGAGTTCTAAAGTTATTTTGTAAGAAATAAATGTCCTTCATAAAATGAGAGTTTCCAAGTTTACTGGTATACTGCCTTTGTACCTTATAGCTAGAGACATTCTCATCTTTCTGCCACCTAGGACTCCTGTATTTCTTCACAACTGTAAACCTTGGTGACAATATAAATGGGCTTTGGCACTCAGCCTCCCTGTTGAGAGTGGTGACCCATTACCTGACAGTTCTATCATTACTTTTTTCCATTCCTCTTACATTGACTTCAGAAGTGTTCATTTGGGCAGTGACTGAGTAAGTGCATCTTTTGTCCCATTTCTAGCTTTGTATGTTGCTTCTGCCTTGGCCTCCTTTTTTCAGACCCTTCTTTTCACCATCAATAATCTTTGGGATAATTTTTTAAAATGCAATCTAAGATTTGGGAGTATCCCCAAGAGTTTACAGCAGTCACGTGGATAGAGGAGACCTTTAATTCCCCTTTCTCTTGGCCATAATAAAAGTTACTATTCCCAGAGGGAGAGAGAGGTACTTTCCCTATCCCAGAACTTTGAAACCTTTTTCTGTCAGGCCTCAGGCACCACTCCTGAAAAATTTCGGTAATTCTTGCACCTCAAACAAGCTCCAATTAGAACAAAGAGACTTGAGTCATTCCTCATCTGTGACACCCATTCTTATCATTCTGGATTGTCCAAAAAGAGCCATCTCATGTTTCCTCCTATTAATCACAAAGTTCTTTTCTTCTCTATACTTTCCCTAGTACACACACACACACACACACACACACACACACACACACACACACTTTTTCTTTCCTCCTGACTCTCTTTATTAGAGATCAGCAATTTCTATTTCTTTGTTAGCACATGACCATTCATAATTGATATTTTCTTAAGAGACTTTGCTTTGTATTGTTATAGTTTGTATCTAGGTATGCCCCCAAGGCCTCAGGTACTAATTGGTGGGGCTTTGGGGAGGTGACTGGATCCTAGGGGTGATGTTAGGAGTTGAAGCCTGGTGGAAGGAGGTTGGTCTCTGTGGAGGTGGCCTGGGATGGTATGTATACACTTAGTTCTCCCCTGATCCTGCTCTGCTTCCTGCCTGCCATGCTATCAATTATTTTTCCTCTGCTATGCCACCCTACCTTGGAACCAACTGAGTATAGACTGAAACCACTACGAACGGTGAGCCCAAAATTAACCTCTCCTCCTTTAATTTGTGAATGTCTCCTCCTTAACTTGTATTTTGTTCCAGCAATGGCAAAGTAATTAAGACAGGTCTCAGGTGTACTCTCCTGTGTCTGAAAGATAGTGACTCCCTTCTTTCCTCGGAATGAATTGTGCTTACTTTCCAACTCCCCATAGAAGGTAGATTTGACTTCTTTCTTTCCCGGGGCACTACCAAAATATGCTTCCATTTTGTGACCCTAGAGAATTGGAGGAGCTTTGTAATCTAAGTATATTTCTCTGTACCTGGTCATCATTTTTATCTTTGACAGCATCCAGGCCACTCTCCCACACTGATGGTAGAGATGAGAACCTGACTTACAGTCTTCTCCCTTCAGTGTCTTCCCGAGTCTTAGCTGCTCAGTTCATCCACACTAGCATTCCTACCTCAAGTGAACTGCTACTTCTATTAAAATATCACCTTACTTCTTCCTATCACCAAACACTGTTCTACTGCAGTCACTTTTAAATTCTCAGATTCTAGTTATACCATATTAAGAGAAAAAAACCATTTCAAAAATGTATACAAATAACCAAAAGATAAAATGAAACATTTAATGAATTATTATAAGGTAAATTCTACCCAGTTGCTGGCCCCATAGCTATTCTTTTGTTTTACTCATTTCATATCTTTTCTCTGACCTATAATGTGTCAATCTTGCAGATTAGCATTCAGAGAGGAATCTTATTTCTGAATTCCTGAGGCTCATTTCAATGTTGTCTCCAAGTAACTGACATTGAGTTCTCTGTGCTAGGTATTATTAGGCTCGTTTTATAAGTTACATAATTGAAATGTCTTGAGACTGACATTCTGCATATATAATCTTACTTTTCTATTGACTTAAATTGCAAAGATGGAATATATGTTCTTCTTGAAAAATAGATCCCCTATTCCCCCCTTAAACCTTAGTATGTTATTTTTAGGAATGTAGTGGAAACTGATTTTTTTTAATTGCAGCATAGGATATAACATCATTATATTTAACACTGAGATATAACATCATTCCTTAAAAATAAATGAACTAGAGTTGTGTGTATAAGCATAGATAAATTTCAGATGCACAATGTTGAGCAAAAAAAGAAAATTCCACAAGATTTCATACAGTATATCATTTCTGTGAAGTTTGAAACCAGGGAAAAAATAGTGGTCTTTCAAATAAAAATGGAGGATAAAACACATGAGCTTTCTTTCTCAAGTCTAATGAAAGTAACAGTATATTTTTAAAGACAGAAACCCACAGGGTCAAAGGAAATTGAGGCAAAGCCCAACCATGTTTTGGAAGATGAACAAATGGTAGGAACTGTAGTAGAAGTGAGTATAATGAATGCTCATCTGTAGTGAAGAAGTCCAGAAGTAACCCACTTTGAAACACAAAGCCCCAAAATACTCAGTAACTGGTAGTGCCAGGAAAGTTTAAAGGAGTTGAACTGATGTTATAAACCATGACCTGGGTGAAAATCTTTTTAAGAGCAATTAGATTTCAACCAGCAAATATGAGGTCATGAGTTGGAAAATCAACATTTTTTTACTACCAAAGTAATAATTGATTCCAGGGAAAATCATCAATGTATACTCAAACCATTAGTTCATATTCTTTTGGGTAGCAGCCCATTTATACAGTCTCAAGGTATATCCTTATAGATTACTTACTAACCAGATGGTCAAAAATTTTAACAAAATAGAACAAACTGGACATTATATGTGCCTCCTTGTTTGAGGAACTGAAAATAATTTAGTATTCTTTAAAAAAATGCATAATCCTTATATAATCATGAGAAAACAACCAGAAAATCTAAATTGTAAGACATTTCATAAAACATAAAACCAGTTATGTTAGTATCATGAACAACTGAAAAAAAAAAGCATGAACAGCTAAGAAAGACTGATAAATATGAGAACTAAATGTAACATATGATTCCAGAATGGGGCAAAAAAAACTTTGCTATAAGGGACATCCTTGAAGTAATTGATAAAATTTGAACATAAATCATTAACATAGCCTTACGTCAGTGTTAAATATGAAAAGAAGAAAAAGATGCTGTTCAATTTCCTTTGTGATAGTGTACAACCAGGCAATTTCTTCTCTATTTAGTTGAAAACTGGATGTTTATTCTTGGGAAAGAGAAAATAGTCCAGACTTTTCCGGACAAATTTAAGGAAAGAAGTACCATTCTAAAAACAGAGGAATTAAATGAATACATGCATACTGAAAATGAGACCTCTAGACTTATTTTTTCCCTACTAGGATCCAGGAACAAAGACAAACAGGCCTTTATGCTCCAGGCAGGGTATTAGAAGATATTTCTCTGGGGATTCTGACCTGCCAAGAAGAAGGACCTAAAATCTCAATTAGATTACTATTCAGTGAAACTGAGTTGACAAGTCTCATCTATGGCACCAAAGCTGCCAGATTTATGTCAATATCCAACATCACAGGAGAATATAAAAACAGAAAGCTACACACATAAATAGGCAAAGGCAACTTAAAGACTTAAGACAACTACTATTTTCAGAGATAAGAGATTTTGAAATCATTGAACAAGAACATAATACTACATGAGAGAAGAAAAATTTAACAAAAAGCTCTTGGAAAAAGAAGTATAATAGAAATAAAGGGGCTGGGGATTTAGCTCAGAGGCACAGTGCCTGCCTGGAAAGTGCAAGGTCGTGAGTTCGATTCCCAGTACCAGAGAAAAACCAAAACCCCAAAAAAAAAAAAAAAAAAGAAAGAAAGAAATGAAATATTTACTGGAAGTGTTAGACTTTGTACTGAAGCAATTTCGTATGAAATAGTGCAGAAAGATAGGTGAAAAACAGGAAAGAAAATTAGAGAACTAGCAACACTGGAAGTGAGATGAGGAATTCTTTCAACATTTGGATGAGTAGTAAGTGCCAGCCTAGACTTCTATACTCATTGATATCGTGTAAGTTTGAGTGGAATAAACTTTTTTAGATGAGCAAATTCCTGTAGATTTAACCTCTAGAAACTTTCAGGAAGTTACAAAAGGAGTGAGCAAAGAAAAAGGGAGAAGTAAGATCAAGAAAGAAAACTACAGCTGCCAGGTATGGTGGCACACACCTGTAATCCCAGCATTCCGGAGGCTGAGGCAGGAGGATCATTGCGAGTTCGAGACCAGCC